TCTGGGTCATTCCATTCGAAGGCGAATAGCAACTGACTCTTGGGGGCCAGAGGGAGGCAAAAGAAGGCGTCCTTCAAATCCAGGACGCTATACCAAGTTCGGTCGGGAGGCAGAAGGCTCAGGAGGGTGTAGGGGTTCGGCACCGTGGGGTGTATAGTCTCTACCCTCTTATTCACTTCTCTGAGGTCCTGGACCATGCGGTACTCCCCCGTCTCTTGCTTCTTTACAGGTAGCAGGGGTGTATTCCATGGAGACTGAACTGGGACTAAGATCCCGGCCGCCTTGAGCTTACGAACGTTCTCACGGACCCCTCTCCTTGCCTCGATAGTCATAGGGTACTGACGCACCCTTACCGGCTGGGCCGTGCTGGTCAGCTGGACATGGATTGGAGCCTGTTCCTTTGCAAGGCCCGGGGGGTTCGTCTCGGCCCAAACTCCTGGGATTTCCCTCTTCCATTTTTCTAACAACTCCCCACCGGTAGGAGGATCCTTTTCATAGAGGAGGTATTCTTCACCTATAGGCACTGTGACGAGTAATTTCCCCCCTACCTCAATCCGGGGCTCCTCCCCGCCGTCAAAGGTGATAGTGGCACGTAACTTGTGGAGGAGATCCCTACCCAAGAGTGGGTCTGGACACTCGGGGATTACTAAGAAGGGATGAGTGACTAGCCCCCGGCCTAAGTCTGTGATCCTTCCTTCCGAGGTGGGGTAGCTCTTGGCCACCCCGGTTGCCCCTACCACTCTGATCTTCCGAGCGGTAGTGGGGCCCACTGGCGTCTGCACCACCGAATGAGTGGCCCCGGTATCCACTAAAAAGTCAATGAGTTGCCCCCCTACCGAGAGTTTTAGCCTGGGTTCCCGGAGGGCCGTGGGACCCTGAAACTTCTAGTCTACTTCTTCTACCAGGATTGGTGCCGGCTCTTTACGTGCTCCGGCTAGCTTGGGACAGTCTCTCTTCCAATGCCCTTCTTCCTTACAGTATGCACACTGGTTCGGGCCTAGCGCCCCAGCTCTCCAGTTTTTCTTGGAGCCGCTCTTGGCCCCTTTTCGGGGCGGCTCCTCCCGGGCCAAGAGGACTTTGGCCATTTTCTGTGTAAGTTCCTGGGTAGTTTTAGCAGGATCTTCCCGCTGGTCAAACACCTTCTGGGCTACGGCCACCAGCTCAGAGAGAGACTTTCCCTGAAACCCATCCAGCTTCTGTAATTTTCTTCTAATGTCGGGGGCTGCCTGAGACACAAACTGGAGGACAACCGCGGCTTGATTCTCTGGAGCCCTAGGGTCTATTGGCGTCCAGGTCCGATAAGCCTGGAGTAGCCGCTCGAGATATGCCGTAGGGCTCTCAGAGGGGCCCTGCTTGACCTCTGTTACCTTGGAGAGGTTAGTGGGCTTCCTCGCGGCAGCCCTGAGTCCCCTAAGCAAGACCTGGCGGTACTGGTTAAGTGCTTCCTCCCCTCGATGGGTATTGGGGTCCCAATTCGGGCGGGAGGAGGGAAATTGCTCCTCAATCTCTCTCTCGTTGGTGTTTATCTCCCCCTGGGGATCCCGCACCTGTTTCTTCCCCTCTGCCTTAATCCTCTCTCTCTCTTCGGTAGTGAAGAGAATCCGGAGGAGTTGCTGACAATCCTCCCAAGTGGGCTGGTGAGTATAGAACACTGATTCTAATAGGGTAATCACTTCCTCCGGAGCCTCAGAAAATGGGGGATTTTGGTTCTTCCAATTATAGAGGTCAGAGGTAGTGAAAGGCACATAAGTGCGGAGCTGACGACCTGCACCGTCTCTCTCTCCCGTCTCTCTCAGGGGATACAGCCCAGCCGCCTGAGCCTCCCCCGGCGCTCCGAACTCAGCCCCACTCCGGGTGTGGTGCGGGCTCGAGACCGTGGAGTCCGGCTGGGGTTTCTCGGGTGCAGCGGCCTCCAGCCCGGAGGCTCCTGCTGGCGCACGGTACGGGGGCGGGGCGGGAGC